TGTGTGTGTGTGTGTGTGTGTGTGTGTGTGTGTGTGTGTGTGTGTGTGTGTGTGTGTATTATATATATATATATATAAATATATGGACAACGATAGTACACGTAGAACGTGCGGTTTCGAATGGAATAACTCCACCGGATCTGATAGTATGCAAATGCATATATTCGTCATTTTGTCACTAACGTTCGAGTGACGTACATATGTTGGTTATTTGTAGGAAATTTGATATCGACGGTAAAGCGATCTCTCAATAATATATAAAGCGTCAATTAAATGGTACGAGCAAAACATGCATACTCGATTGGCTTTGATTCGATTCAATTCTAATTTTCAAGTGCAACGATTAAACGATGTAACGATGTTTGGCTTTATCCGCACAAATCAATATATTTGACGCTCGAAAAAAATATCCATCTCAGAGAGGTGGAGTAAAAACGCAAAGATGTGCTTCTTCAATGCGCTACTGCTGTTAAAAATATTCCGTAGAATCATTAGAGCGTATAATGGGCCGAGATTAATAGTGCGTGTAATAGTGCTCTCCACTGATATACAATATATCCTGTGGGGAAAATGTCAAGTGGTGAATCAATGTTTGACGATGACGCCGTATTACCCTTCAAAACTGTTGGTTCATCCCCTAGCACTTAGGACACAATCAAGTTCCATTTGTCTACGCGTCTCCCCGTGGACCCTCCCCTACTACACGCACCCCTTCATCGACCGTTGAGTCACTCTGTACCGTGAAAATTAAATTAATCGTTAGTCGAAGAGACGATTTTTTTCACATATTTTTTCTCTTCTTCTTCACCCTCTCTCTCTCTCTCTCTCTCTCTCTCTGTGTCAGTCCAATAGAAAATCGATATTTTCTAAAGATATCTTTGAAAAAGTTTATTTAAGTATCTAAACTGATTTTAAAAAGCAGTTCCGGTCATTTATTTTTCATATCGAATTATCATTTTAAAAATTCTCTATATAGATATCATTTATACGAAATAAGAATGAATAAAATAAAAATAAATCTTGATGCAACAATGACAATTTTGCGGTTGCAATTACACCCTTTCTGTTACACGAGAAACGAGTTTCTCAAGATAAAAGGCATAGGAATAAAACAAAATTATTCGCGTAATGCGTACTCTCTCTATGTACTGTTACACGTAAAAGTCGTTCGTGCATGCGCCGCATTTAATTTTGCAGGTAAATGAAAAGTTTTCCCGGAGATGCAGCGGCAAATGCAGTTGGACTCAAGCCGGTTGAAATAAATGACTTTTCTACGTGCATTTTTCCGCTTTCTCACTTTCAAATTCTCTCCTGCGATAAGTTACATTATAGCTTTGCTTGTGTGCCGTTTCTTTAGTAATGTTTCGTTTCAAACGTGTAAATTTTGTTTTGTAAGACGAAGTATCAGTTCCTTCCCAAATATATGTGTAAATTCTCAATTTTAAAGATTTTTTCACATTTTTTAAAAAATAATATATTTTTATGATTTTTCTAAATCAAATAAAACGCTCAACTAAAAATTTATTAATATTTAATATCGAAATATTTAATAATTATTCTTTGTTATTATTATTATTATTATTAATATTTATGTGAAC